CCCCCCCTCAGGGACGGGCTGCCCTTTTGCAGGCAGGTCCCACCGAAGGCAGCCCATGCCCGGACGGGGGTCCCACGGTTGGAGCCCGTGCCCCCGGGGTGGTGAGCGAAGCCCTGGCTGCCCGGCTGGCTGTGCCGCATGGGCCGTACAGGCGGCCGGAGGCACCCGTGGAGGTGCGGTTCCTGCCCTGGGCGAAGCCGGGGATGGAGCAGGAGGCTCGCCTGGAGAGGAGCTGGGCAGGGCAGCACAGCGCGGGCAGGGAGGTGGAAAGAAGGCAGATGAAAGTGTCAGAGAAGAAAGAGAGTGGCCGGACGGCTCAAGAAGGCAGGAGCACGCGGAGCAAGGGGAAGGGGCGCCGAGCCAGGCCCACCTCTCCGGAGCTAGGTAGGAGCATGGCTTTCTGCCTTCCTGCGGGCACAGAGCTGGCCTGGCCAGCCCCTGAGCGGGATGGGGGACCCCCAGCCTGCCTCTGGGAGGCATGGGGAGCCCAGGCTGTGCCAGAGAGCACAGGGGTGGGGCAGAGGGACACAGCTCTGGAGGTTGGGGATGTTGGCACCAACCAGTGCCGTAAACAGACCAGCGTGGGTACCACTTTGCTGGGCCTTGAGGTCATGATGCTTGCTGACATCTCCGTCCCTCCTGCCTGGCATGGGAAGGACGCAGGGTGCTGACCTCTGACACCCAGCCCTGCACTGGTCTGGCCCCCCGGGGCACAGGACACCTGCTGCAGCTTGTCCCGACCGGACTGTGCTCGGTGCTCCAGGCAGGGTGTGCAGCCCAAGCGTCCCCCGGGGGATGCTGCGGTGGCTTGGCTGGGGGAGAGGTGCCCTGCCCATCCCAGCATGCAGGGGTGAGACCAGACTGCACCAGGGCCGGGAGCGCCTTCCAGGCTCTGCTCTGGCCAAAGCAGTGCCAGGCCCATGTGCCCAAGGCTCCTGGTGCAGCCCCAGGACCTTTGCCCGTGTGCTGGGGCCATGGAGGGGAGAGAGCTGCAAGGCTGATGCTGAGGTGGTGGGGCAGAGCAGACAACACCCCGTGGGGGCTGGGGGGAAGGAAGCTCAGAACTGGGGCTGCGGTGGGCTGTTCAACCCTCCTCCTTCCACACCCCGCTGCCGCCTCATCCCTTATGCTGTATGGGAATGTGCAGGAGGCTGTACGCTCCCCGCCCCGTCCTGCTGCAGGCACTGTGCCATTGTGGCCCCTGATGTGGCCCTTTCCTCCACTGCATGGCCCTGGGACCTGCTAATGCCCCAGTGAGGGTGTGGGGCACGTGGTGACAGGGATGGGCAGAGGGTTGCGAGGCCCCTGCTCTGCCTGCATGCAGCCGGGCGCGGCACAGGACCCGCTCACTCCACCCTGCTGACAGCCATGGGGCCCGTCTCTCCCTGTCCAGAGTCCTCCGACGACTCCTACGTCTCAGCGGGTGAAGACCCCCTGGAAGCCCCCATCTTTGAGATCCCCATCCAGGACATGGCGGGGGGCGTGGGGGGG